CCCCCACCCCGTTGGTCATAGGCTGCTGAGAAAACACGGAGAGGTGGATTGCGCAAATGAACACTCCTAAGTGGCTCCAGCTGTCAGACCCGGTGTGTCTCACCCTGAGTCAGGGACAGCTGTCAAAAAGGCAGGCGGCTGTTTAAGCGATCGCAGTCCACCTCCTTCTCTGTGACCGGCAAACCCAGAGGCGGAGCATTGCCCGTGACCCGCTAGCTCCGAGCTCGGACCCGCAGAAGTGGCTCCGGACCCCACTGAGCATGCTCCGGGCAGTGCCAGACTGCCACACGTGGCTGCCTCTGGCATCTGGCTGCCCAAGGCTGAGGAGCATCACGACATCAGGGCTCAGGAGACCCGACAGCAATAGTATGGACACGTGGGCAGAGGCGCCGGTGCTGAGGATCTTGCGGGCCGATGGATGAATGTGCGTGCGTGGGCTCTGGTTTCTAAGCCTATCAAAACCCAGCCCTTCCCTAAAAGCCGGAGAAGAGAAATCACACTTTAACGTTAGTTTCCATAGCGCTTCGAATAACAGCACACCTTAGCTCAAAGAACCTTTCTGCCTCTTTCAAAGAGCCTAATCTTTTCAAGTTATTCAGTAAGCATTCCCTGCGATCGCAGTTGAGAACCACACGGCGTCTGTCTCCCTTTGTTCATTTAAGTCCTACTATATTTTGGTAAAGTAGTTTTGTATTCACTTCGGCTCTGGTCCTTTTCCTCCCCTCTCCTTTTTTAGTATCACGGAACGTCCAGGATACTCCCATTCTGTCCTGAAAACACTTGCTGCAGTGTGCTTGCGTGTGTGAAGGGGGATTGCTTTAAATACTCGGTGAGGGGAGACTGACGTGGGAAAAGCATACAGATTTGAGATGAGTAAACTCAAGGAGAAGGAGGAGAAGAAAGTAAGAGAAAAGGGAGGGGTGGAGAGTGAAGGGAGAAGGAGGAAGAGAGGGAAGTGGGGGGGGAGCTGCCTCTCACTGAGTTTTGAAAGATGAGTGGCCCAGTAAGGTTTGTGGAAATCCTAGGAAATAGCCAGAGTGACTGAGGTGGCCCGTCATGTCAGCCTCTCGAGCTTCAGTGTGGTTGGGGTCACCATGTCTAGTGGGAATTTCTCTCCCAGAAGAACCCTTTGAACCCTAACCCACGGGGGCCATTTTCATGCATCCCCTGGGTTTCTGGAGTCTGATGTTGCTTAGGTCTAGAACACTGCCCTGGATCTTGCAGATCTCCGTAGACACAAGTATCCCAAATAGTGAAACCTGGAAAAGGGTGTGCAAGATGTCTCTTCAGCAGCTATCTTGGAACTTATGTTTGAAGCTATCTCTGCCTCAGTTTACCTGGTGTGGCAGGTGCTTAGTTCTCTGATCACGGTGACCTTTCCTCCACTGCTTCTTCATGTTCTCTCCTCTTTGCACCAACCATTTTTTTTTTTTAATGCACCAAATTATTATCAGTGTTCTCTGACTTCCCTCTTCTCTCCTGCTGCCTCTGATCTCTCATCCTTCTGATGACCGTCAGCGCCAACCCGGGTTAGTTGGCCATACCCAATTGCTAGATTCTTTTCAGGTGGCTCAAACACCTGTTTTGATTGGTCAGTGTCTAGTGTTTGTCCATGTATGTCAATACTATATGTCATCTTTGTCCCTAACTGTATTTTTTCTCTATATCTCCCTAAGTTCCGGCCTTTGTACGTAATCTGTCAAGACAGCCCAACTGGTCTGCCTCAGGAGACTCAAATCCAGTATATCCTGAGTGGAATTCATGAGCTGTGATTGCTCTTTTGCATTTTTTTCTAGTATTTTCTAGCAACTCAGCCACATAGATCACAAATCTAGAAATTTCTAGATCTAGTCACCCGACTTTCATCTGTCATCCCACTGGTCCTAGGTACTATCTACCTGTCTGTAGGCATCTCTGAATAGCTCATATCCCTGTGTCATGATCTACACTGCACTTTTCAGTCTTAGCATCACTAGTCATCATTAATGACAGCATAATAATCTCCTAAGCAAGTCCTCTCTGTGTCCCTCAGCACATCTTGGAGTTTTTCTTTTTCAGCACATTTGCCCCTGATGTGAGTTTCCAGCCCATGTTCCGTAACATCCAGTATCCTAGCCAATCCAAATCACATGTTATGCAAATCGACACTTTCACATGCTTGTCACTTCTTTTGATCTTCTGTCACCCTAACTTACCTGTCAAATATTGAGCATTCAAGAGTGAGTTCAGACTGGGCACACTCTGGTCTTCCTGCGGTGACCTCCTCTTGGACACTTCATTTGGGCCTTGCATCTTGTCTTCATTTTGATATCTATCTTAGTTAGGGTTTCTATCGCTACTCTTTTTTTTTTTTTTTGGAGACAGGGTTTCTCTGTGTAGCTTTGGTGCCTTTCCTGGAACTCACTCTGTAGTCCAGGCTGGCCTCAAACTCACAGAGATCCACCTGCCTCTGCCTCCCGAGTGCTTGGATTAAAGGTGTGCACCACCACCACCTGGCTTCTATCACTACTCTTATGAAGGAAAGCATTTCTTCTTTCTTTTCTCCCCACCCCTAAAGGAAAGCATTTCATTGTGGCTGGCTTACAGGTTCAGAGGTTTAGCCCATTATTGTCGTGGCGGGAATCATGGCAGCATGCAGGCAGACGTGGTGGTGGAGAAGGAGCTGAGAGCTCTACATTTGGATCTGAGGGCAGCAGGAAGAGAGTGTGAGCCACTTGACCTAGCTCGAGTTTCTGAGACCTCAAAGCCCACCCCCAGTGACACACTTCCTCCTACAAGGCCACATCCCCTAATAGTGCGACTCCCTATGAGCCTAGAGGGGCCATTTTCTTTCAAACCACCACAACACTGACCCTGAATTGTTTTCATTAATTGTCTTCACTGCTCTGTAGGGAACTTGATAGCCAGGGCTGCGTCTCAAGCACCTTTGTGTCCAGTACCAGCAGAAGTTTGCCTGGTGGATGAAAGATACACATATGTACCAATATAAAATTGAACATTTATTCCTTTAAAAAGTTCTTCTTGAAGTGTTCACTCAGACGGCAAATCTCACGAGGCCAGAGCAAAGTCTCGCCCAATGTGATCTGAACGATACAAGCGAGGCCTCCGGTCTGACCTCTTTGCAGCCAGTGCGCTTTCTCTACCGTCAGAAGTCAGGAATGTTTTGTGAGCCATCTGGTGTCCTGGTTTCGTTGGCCGTACAATAGCAAAACATTACTAATTATTCCACAAATTCCATTGTTTTCCATTAACCTGCTTTCTCCTGGCAGTGTAGTTACAACCTTCTAATTGTCTGAAGGTCATTATTCTACTCCTTAGAATGGATTATTTTTCTTCCTGTTTCAACATGGTGCCCCCGAAAGGCACACCAACCATTTGGGAATTAATATGATTTTGATACCTCTCTCAATTCTCATTGTCCACTGATACCTAGAACTAAACCCTGGGGTGGGGGCAGTCACCTGCTTCAGAATCACCTGGGAATGATGACTGTGCTGGTCAGTGTTTCTCACTTGATACGGACTAGAGTCACCTGGGAAGAGGGACCCTGGGCTGAAGAGCGGCTGCCATCAGATTGGCCTGTGGGTGTATCTGTGGGGTGTTTTCTTGATGTGGGAGGGCCTAGCTCACTGTAGGCAGTGTTACCCCCTCAACCACGAAGGTGGTCCTGGGCTGTGCAAGAAAGCAAGCTCGAACCATAGAAAGCAAGCCAGGAAACGGTGTCCCTCTGTGGTCTCCGCTTCAGTTAACTGCCTTCATATTTCTGCCTTGAGCTCCTCTTGCCTCGGCTTCCCTCAATGATATGCAGTAGCCTATAAACCGAACCCTTCCCAGCCCTTGAAAGGACCTGCGTACTCTGGACCCTGGACTAGGCATAGACCACACCAGAATCCCAGTTTCCAAGCACAAACAAAATTGATCAGAAGTGGAGCAGGCAAAGGGTGGGTTGTCATGGTTTTCCAAAACAGAGCAGGACTGAATAGGGATGTTAACAGATGCAGACAGAAAGTATCGCCCATAACCCGGGCAGAGTTTTTGTGATGTATGAGGGTATCCCTGACCTGAAACTGCCGGGAATACTGGCCTTGAAGGGGGTAAAGAAAAAGCAGGAATGGGAAGAAGGGGAATGAGATTTATCTTGTTGAGCGATAGGTGGCAGTAGAGAGTGGGTAATCTTGTTGAGAGACAGTGTTTCTCTCTGTAACCCTGGTTGTCCTGGAACTCACCAGGCTGGCCTCAAACTCAGAGATCCACCTGCCTCTGCTTCCTGATTGGTGGAATTCAAGGTGTACGCCACCACCACCACCACCCGGCAGAACGGGTAATCTTAAGGGAGCAGAGACTAAAATGTATAGCTGGGGCTAGAAGAAGAAACAGAATGGCAAGGCTTTAGATGAGATAGATGGACCCAGTGTGGAATTTCCCGGAATCTGACGCAGTCCGGGTGTGAGTTCCATGGCAAAGGGCCCTTGCCACTCGGGCTGGAGAGGCGGGGTTGGTTGCTTGGGAGGTGCTAGGAAAACCTGATCTCCCAGATGTGTGGGACAAGTCGGAGGATTTATGAGGGCTTGGGAAGAAGCCCTTAGGAATGTGTCCAGATGAGTGATTGGGTGGCCTGTAAAGTGTGTGTGTGTGTGTGTGTGTGTGTGTGTGTGTGTGTGTGTTGGGGGTGGAGGGGCAGGAGTTCATCAGGGATGAGGGGGAGGTGAGGGAGTAGTCCTGGTGATAGAAAGGATCTTCCAGACACTAACTCAAAGGGAGGAAGATTGCTAGGCCAGTGTCTCGGTGTAGAACGAAGGCAGAGAAAAAAGCTAGAGGGAGGAATTTAATCCAGCTGAGGTTCCAGAGTGGATTTGATTAGTATTTCTTTTAGGGTTCTGTTGGTGCATTCTACCATGCCAGAGGATTGTGGATGTCAGGAATATAAATGTGCCAGGGTATTTAGACCTTCGAATAGGCCCTGGGTGACTTGAGAGGTGACTTCTCCACCATTATCTGACTGGAGGGAAGTAGATAGTCCAAAGTGAGAGATTATGTCAGAGATCGGAAAAGCGGTGAAGGCTGATGCCTTTTTGTTTGTGACTGGATAGGCCTCAACTCTATCAGAGAATGTATCAACAAAGACTAAAGCTATTTAAAGCATTTTACAGTGGGCATATGAGTAAAGTCAATCTGCCAGTTGTAGCCAGGAAGCAATTCTGGGGCCTAGTGAGTGGGAAAGGTAGTTTTAGAATAGTGGAGGTGGTGTTAGGTTTCTGATATGCATTGTATGTTTGTGTTCAGTTCTGTAGAAAATGTCTTATCTGCTTGGATGTGAATCAGGCGGGTTGCGAGAAAGGATAGAGACGATTTAGTGTTAGAGTGAAATTTTTGATGTAAGAAGCAGATAATGTCCTGTGTTGGAGAGGGTAAGGTGTGTTGTTATCTGGGTTATGTAGTAGGGTAGCCTGGAGGGAAGTCCGGTGAGTCATAGGGATGAAAGGGCAGCTTGACTGGCTGCCATGTTGGTGCACTGATTGCCTCTACTTACAGTGGAGGTGCCAATATGAGGTGCCTTGCAATGAACCAAGCCGATCTGAGTGGGTAAAAGAAAGGCCTTCAGGAGGTTATGGCTATATGAAGGGTTAGTAATTGGGTTGCCCTTTGTGTTTAAAAATCTTCATTCCTTCCAGATGGCCAAGTGTGTTAGCAAAATATGGAAAGCCTATTTGGAGTCTGTACCGTTAATGAGGTTCTTTCAGCCATTTGGAAGGCTCTGGTGAGGGCTATTAATTCTGCCTGTTGATTGGGAATATGTGGGGATGAGGAGGCCACCACCTCAACAATGGCATCATCTGAGGCCACTGCATATCCTGCAATGTGGTGGCCATCTGACAGGAAGGAGCTGCCATCTGCATTAAAAAGTGTAGGCAGAAGTAGCTGGAGGACCATCTTGTATGTGAGAGGGATGGTGGAGGGGGTCTTTGAGAGTCTCTGGACAGGAGTGAAGAGGGTCTGGGGAATGTTGGGGCAAAGGGATAACTGTGGAGATAGGCAACAAATGTGAGTGATGAATTTTCTGTAAGAGAAGTTTGGAGGAATAGAGTCCTAGACGGTGAAAGAGATTGGAGTCCTTTGTACATTAGGAAGAGGGGGGAGATAGATTGTGAGGGAGGACCCCAGAGTTAATTTCTTAGATTCAGAGATGAGCAAGGGCCTAGGCTCCTGGAGAGCAACTGGTGTGTATTTAGTCTATAGTAGAGACTGTGCCTGGTCAGTCCTTGGCTTCCAGGTCCAGTAGATCCAAGGGAGGTGCCAGGAGGCTGGATGACGCTGGGAAAACTGTGCCCTGGGGCCAGACTGATGCCCTGGCCCTCCTGGTGACATTTAGAGCATAGTCAGGTAAGTCTTTGAGGATTTAGGCAGGCATGGGTACAGTGAACTTCCTTGCCACACTTGAAGCAATGGTCTAGTGGTTTCTTCTGACCTCACACCCCCTTTCTTTGGGTTTTCCCAAGCACCATGAGTCTGTTGGAAGGACTTAGCCAAGGGCTAGCAACCTGTGTTTTGGTGTGCTCATGATGATTATGACAGAACCTCAGCCTGGGCTGTAAGTGGGCCTTGGTATAGACATTTGCATTTGATCTTTATGTCTGGGTAGGATTGGGCAAAAAAGTAGGTCATGAGGAGTTGTTGGCCATCTGGAGTTTCTGGGAGCAGGGTCCGTGTAAGGAGTTGGAGAAACTAAGAGGGATTTTCAGATTGTCCTGAACTGCTGCTAGATTTTTTTTGAAAGTTAATTGGTTTAAGGGTCATTCCTCTTAGCCAGAGAGGAGACAAGTGATAAACGGTCTCTGGCCCGACAATCATGTCTGTTATTGTAGTTCCAGCCAGGAACTATGTCGGGGACTACTGCAGCTCTGTTGCTATGTTTGGTGTATCTGATAGCACAGGTTCACAGCCTTTCTCCCAGACACATCTGTGTTCCTCGGGAGGAGGTGCTAAGAAAGGGTCATATAGAGATCATGGAAGGTGAGGTCATAGGACCAGGGTAGGGAGTAGAATTGTTTGATGAAGGCGGTCAGGTCTGTGGTAAAGGAACCTAGACATTTTTTCAAGCTGGGCAAATTCCCTGAGAAGAGAAGGGATCATAAACATGCGGAGGGCCATCCACACCTGCTCCTTCCCTAAGGGCCAGGACAGCACAGGGGCTGAGGGCAGTTTATCATGGGAGTGAGTGTGGGGAGGACCGAAAGGTGAGGGCTGGCATCGGACTCCGAGACACAGCCAGATTGAGGAGAGGTAGAAGAAGGGGAGATGAGAGGGTTTGGGGGTTCAGAGGCCAACCTTTCATGTCCAGGTGGAGAATAGACAGATGGAGGAGAGTAAAGAGAAGACAGCTGGCAAGAGAGAGGATGCTGAAGATGGAGATAGAGAGTAGGTTCATCAGCAGACTCAAAAGATAGGCTTTCAGTTTCAGGAGCAGAAGAATCAGGAAGTGAGGTGGGAGACTTAAAGGTAAGTAGGACATGGGAAGGTGAACAGGAGGTGCATAAAGAAGGCTTGGGGCAAAGGGCAGAGAAAGTAGAAACATAAGGGACCTCTTTCCACTTTCCTGTATGTACACAAAAGTTGTAAAGATCATGAATAATGCTAGGACCACGGGAGCCTTGGATGGCCATTCTGACTGGTTATCTTGGGGTTACTGAGGCCAAACTTGAGTCCTGCAGTGGATGAGCTGAGGTTTGGGGTCTGGAGTTGGTTACAGCCTTCTGAGACTTTCGAGAAGACACCCCAAAGGCAAATCAGTTGGGATGGAGAGAGCACATCCCATCAAGAATGGTGTGGTGGGCCAGGATCAAGAGCCAACGGCATCCCTGAGAGCCTTGAGTGACCGATAGACTGCTGGGAGAGGGCGAGTCATGACCCAAGCTCAGTCACCAAGAGGGAGAAGCAATGATCCATGGAGAGATCTGGGACCCGTTGACAGGAGTTTCAAATGGTTAGGAATGAACACCAAATTCCAGCAGAGTGGCCGCCAAAAGTGAAAGGAAAGCCGCTAGCCAAGCCAAGCAGAATGTGCCGATTGGCCGTCTAAGGGAGTCTGTCTACTGTAACCAATGATCTTCTCCTCAGTCCCACGGGACAGAGCAGGGGTGCTAGACACTTAACAATTGTCACCGTTGATGACAGCCGTTGTCAATGATATGTTCTCAATGACGGGGACTATTTAGGATAGCAAGGGTGGGGACTCACTGACCAGCCACTGTTGGATGAGGAGATCAAGTATCAGGAGGACTGGAAAGGTGGAAAAAGGGTTTGGGGGCAGAGTTACTGGCCAATTGGAATCAGAATCACAGAACCAAAACAAAGAGACCTGCGTGCTGTGGGGGTAGTCCCCTCTGAACTCCAGATTAGGCCCAGACCACAGCCAAATACCGATTTCCAAACACAAAGAGATCCTTTATTAAGCAAGGCAAAATAGACAAGGTGGCTGAATCTGAATCGTGTGGAAACAGCAGCAAATAGCTTTGCAGGTGTTCATTTTAAGAGGGGGAAAAAAGAGGAGGTCTGTGTTAGACTGAGCTAGGACGTGTCGGTAAGTCCTGACTTGGTACTTTAAGTAGGTTAGTCAAAATAATGAACTTAGATTGTTGGACTTTGTTGTATTGACAGTTGGACCTTGGGGATCTATCAGTCTCAGGAATGAGTGAGGCCAAATAAGGGACTAGACCCTGGAGGCTAGCTTTAGAAATGTAATCTAGGGGACTCTTGTCGCGGCCGTGGAGACTAGAAGGACTCCGGATTCGGCTCGGCACTCGCCCTCGCTTCGCCATGGAGAAGACCGAGCTGATCCAGAAGGCCAAGCTGGCCGAGCAGGCCGAGCGCTACGACGACACGGCCACCTGCATGAAAGCCGTGACAGAACAGGGCGCCGAGCTGTCCAACGAGGAGCGCAACCTGCTGTCGGTGGCCTACAAAAACGTGGTCCACCTGGAGGGTCATCTCGAGCATCGAGCAGAAGACCGACACCTTTGACAAGAAGTTGCAGCTGATCAAGGACTACCAGGACAAAGTGGAGTTGGAGCTGAGGTCCATCTGCACCACGGTCCTGGAATTGTTGGATAAATATTTAATAGCCAATGCAACTAATCCAGAGAGTAAGGTCTTCTATCCGAAGGGGAAGGGAGATTATTTCCGGTATCTTGCTGAAGTAGCATGTGGTGATGATCGAAAACAAACGATAGATAATTCCCAAGTAGCCTACCAAGAGGCCTTTGATATAAGCAAGAAAGAGATGCAGCCTACACACCCAATCCACCTGGGACTGGCTCTTCTCTGTATTTTACTATGAGATCCTTAATAATCCAGAGCTTTGCCTGCACATTGGCCAAAACGGCTTTTGACAAGGCTGTCACACGCTGAATGAAGACTCCTACAAAGACAGCACCCCTCATCATGCAGTTGCCTAGAGACAACTTAACATTATGGACATCGGACAGTGCAGGAGAAGAATGTGACGAAGCGGAGGGGGCCGAAAACTAAGGGCACCCGGTGCGGTCCTCCGTCCCTCAAGAAAACCTTTTTACATCTCCATTCCTTTCCACTTGGATTTCCTCTAGCAAGGAAGCCCATCCATGTGTATGGGATCAACTGTTTATAGTCTTTTCACACTGCAGCTTTGGGAAAACTCCATCCCTTGATCTGTGTTGTCCCGGCCTTCCTGGTGTGCAGTTACTGCTGTAGAAAAGTATCAGTAGCTTCATTTCATACACACGTGAGTAACTTCCAACCCTTGTGCAGAGGACTGACAGTGCATTTGGTGTTTAAGTAATCTGAACCAGTTCTGCAAGTGGCTGCATCTGTATTACTGTGAAGATACGGAAATGTGGTGCATTACAATTGAAAGTAATTGTAATAATAACTTCCTGATTTCTACATTCCCTCTCTGACCCTTCTTGGGGGGTTTCCTTTCAGAAGCGGCTTTTCCATACTCTTACTGCATACTCCTTTTTAGTAGGAATCCAGAAGTGTTAGATTGAACAGGAAAAGCTCTTAATGCATCCAGTCTGGAAGTCACAGATGGAAATGTCTCCCATGTCACATATTCTGGGGGTCATGTTTGTCTGTGACAACAGGGAGTTTCCTTCATGCATTCTTCATTTGCTGCTGTTTGAGTTGACAAGTTCCTTCCCAATAAAAACCACTTACACCTCCTGCCTTTGTAGCTCTGGTACAAAATAAAATAAAATAATAAAAGTTACCTTGTAATAAAAGTTAGCATGTTGCTGCCAGAATATAAGCATTGCTTTGGGCAAATTAAAATGCATGTCCTTTCTTAATCCACTAGAAAGGGGAAATAAGTGCACACGTCCAAGTCTAAAGTTGAGTACTTTTCCATGCAGATTCGTGTACATGTGAGAAGGTGTCCAGTGTGTCCAGTGATTGTTCTTCAGAGAGCTGTGTGTTTGCTAATCATTGACTGTAGTCCCAGAAAAGCCTTGTGAAAATGTCATGCCCCATGTAACAGCAGAGTAACATAAAATAAAACTACATTTTATAAAACCAAAAAAAGAAAAAAAAAGAAAAAGAAAAAGAAATGTAATCTAATGGCTTAGCAAGAGAGAGAAGAGTAAAGGCCAAAGCCTGTGGGCACCAATTTTGCCAAGCTCAGGCCTGATAGAGCCCTTCACCTCTAAATTAATATTGCAACAGAGGAGCAAACTGGAACAGTGACCTTTCTGGAAAAGGTGTTCATGGAAGGAATGACTAACAATCATTCTAGGAAATTCTGCACCCTCTATTCGAGAATGTCAGGTTTCAAACTCGGGACAAATGGCTGAGGTGTCTATTTAACATATCTAAGCTGGACCTGGCCACCAGGTCCTCTCAGCATCCCTCAGTCCCTACGTGCTACAGGATAGGGCTGGCACACCTGCCCTCTACCCTGAACTCTCCAGCCCAGGAGCCAGGTTGCCCTTCCCCAGAGGCTCTTCCCTACATAATTCAGACATTTAGGTTACCTGTCCCATTCTGGACCTCTGGCCTCTTGGCTGCTGCTCCTGGTTCCCCTCTCCCTTCTCCCCTCTGCCCTCTCCCTTCTCCCCTTTCTCTTCTCTTCTCTCTCCCTTCCCCTCCCTGTCCCACATGGCCCAGCTCAGCCTGGTCATGATCACCCAAATATCCCTGCCTCGGATTATGCTCTCCCACATATCCACAATAAACTTTCTCCTCCACTATACCTAGGAGCAGTCATGTCCTTTCCTTTCCTTTCCTTTCCTTTCCTTTCCTTTCCTTTCCTTTCCTTTCCTTTCCTTTCCTTTCCTTTCCTTTCCTTTCCTTTCCTTTCCTTTCCTT